ACATTTAAAATAATATTGCCAGTATTTGAGTACCCCACAGTGGTATTAGGAATATGAAACAGACACAGAAACAGGATAATTCTTTTGGAATTTTCTCTGCAGAAGAGTTAAAATCACCTTTTAAGGATTTGGGTGATTTGATGAAAATATTAGTAATTTTTACTGAAAATATTTGCTTACCTTGTTCCCTTCAGGTTTTTCTCAAATAGAAGTAACTAGATATGGTGTGTGGTTTTTTTTTTTTTTTTTTTTTTTTTTTTTTTTTTTTTTTGAGATGGAGTTTTGCTCTTGTTGCCCAGGCTGGAGTGCAATAGTGTGATCTCAACTCACGGCAACATCCACCTCCCTGGTTCAAGCAATTTTCCTGCCTCAGCCTCCCGAGTAGCTGGGATTGCAGGCATGCACCACCACACCCGGCTACTTGTGTATTTTTAGTGAAGACAGGGTTTCTCTATATTGGACAGGCTGGCATCGAACTCCTGACCTCAGGTGATCTGCCCACCTCGGCCTCCCAAAATGCTGGGATTACAGGCATAAGTCACTGCGCCTGGCTAATATGTTTTTTAATTAGAAATAACTTTCAGTTGTTTTGTTTTTTTCAGAAATAAAAATAAGATTAGTGGAGGATATTTGGCTGCTAGAATGAACTAGAGTTGTAGAATGCCTTCCCATCCATTGGAATGTTAGTGTTTTAAAACTATTCTTTCATCTGTCGTCGTCTTCTTCTTCTTCTTCTTCTTCTTCTTCTTCTTCTTCTTCTTCTTCTTCTTCTTCTTCTTCTGCAGTTACCATTTGGGAATAAAAAGAAAGTTTCAAAATAGGAGTTTACAATTTTATTACTATGTACGATTTCATTTGAGACATTTACAAACTATTTTTTAAGCCCTGAAAATCAGTATATTTTTCAGAAACCCTTTGCTAACTCATAATAAACTTGCAGTGTTTCTTCAGGGGCAAACTTCAGCTCAGCCCTGCTGCAGAGATGAAGTACTTTATGCAAACCCCTTCACATATACTTGCTAAGTTTTCAAAATATTTGAGAAACCCAGAAGCATGGAAGTTACAAGCAAACGTTTTTTCATTTTTTGCAATGGAGTCTTGCTCTGTTGCCCAGGCTGGAGTGCAGTGGCAAGATCTCAGCTCACTGCAACCTCTGCTTCCCAGGTTCAAGCGATTCTTCTTCCTCAGCCTCCTGAGTAGCTGGGACTACAGGGGCGCAGCACTACGCCTGGCTAATTTTTGTATTTTTAGTAGACACAGGGTTTCACCATATTGGCCAGGCTGGTTTTGAACTCCTGAACTTGTAATCTACCCGCCTTGGCCTCCCAAAGTGCTGGGATTACAGGTGTGAGCCACCACACCTGGCCACAATCCAACATTTTAGTAGCTCTAATACTTGTAGTTAGACATTTGGCTCTTAAAATATTTAGGTGAAAATATAAATTTCATGGTCAGGAGAATGCATTATTTTAAAATTGTGTACAATTTAACTACTTTCTCTTTTTCTCTCTCTCTGGTAAAAAGGTTAACCTCTGCTAGTGATGACCAAACCTGGTAAAGATTGCAAAGTGGGAAAAATTGGTTTATAGGATCCTTATCTCTTTTAATTATAATTCCACTCTGTTCTTCTTTAGAAGTTCAGCATTTTTTCCTTAGGCATTAGTATTCTTTTTTTTTTTTTTTTTTTTTTTTTTGAGATGGAGTCTCGCTCTGTGGCCCAGGCTGGAGTGCAGTGGCATGATCTCCGCTCACTGCAACCTGCGGTTCCCGGGTTTGAGCGATTCTTCTGCCTCAGCCTCCTGAGTAGCTGGGATTACAGGACTGCGCCACCACACCCGGCTAATTTTTGTATTTTTAGTAGAGATGGGTTTTCACCATGTTGGCCAGGCTGGTCTTAAACTCTGGACCTCAGGAGATCCGCCTGGCTTGGCAGGCATTAAGTATTCTGACCTCAGTTTTCTCCCCTCTCTTCATTTTTTCTTGAGCAAATTTCCACACCTTTTCATTCTCTCTGATCTTCTTTCTCTGCACTCTCCATTATTTTGCTTTTTCCATTTGCTAGAATGCTTATCTCAAATAATTTTGTCAATATATCTGCTTACGATGTTTTAAAATGCCATCCTGAATAGCATATTAATTATACCATTATTACATACAATGAAATAAATACTATGCATTAATAAGCTGGAGTTTTAGCATACTTAACCATTGAAAAGATTGTGATTACCCTGTTCCTTAAATTAATTAAAAATGTAATTTTATTTTTTGAAATAATACAGAATTTATACGCATGCTTAAATTAAAATTATTTCTTTTCAAATGTTCTGATTGTTTCATTTTAGGTACGTTAATTTTCAGGCTTGAATTTTTAGATTAGTTGGTTGTTCCCAGGCTTGGCCGCTGTCCTAAATTAGCTTGGCTTGCTACTGACCCAATGCTAAGCAGTTTACACATATTTGAACCTTGCAACAATCCTGTGAAGTAAGATTGTCAGCTTCAGGTTACAGATGCAGAAACTGCAGTTCAGAAAACTTAATTAACTTTCCAAATTTTCACACCTAATAAGTGGCAGTACTGTAATAAGATTCAACCTGAGACTTCATGGCTCATGATTTTAAGCTTTTCATATGCTTAATGAATCAACAGGCTCTTGGTGTCTTAATTTAAAGGCTAATAGTTTATCCTTAGGTACTGACTTGCATTTGACACTATTTACACTCAGCTCTCCGGCTGGTTCCAATACAATCTTCTAGTTCCACTAGCCTTGCTTGCTCTACCTGTACACTGAATGCTCTCCAAACCAGACCCGCTGCATTTGCTGGATTGTGTTTACACTTATGCTCTCCCTTCAGCCTGAAATGGAGCTTACAGTAACAATCTATTGTACACAATTACTTTCAAAAGAAAAAATGGTACACTGATGGGTCCAGAAAAAGTGGTTTAATCTGGAGATACCGGGGTCTAACTTTGCCTCATACAATCTTGTAATCAGTTCTCTGTTTTTAAGTTCTAAACTTCATACTTCCTTCTGAACCTTCAGAGAAACCCAGCACCTCCAAAACTTGAGACATTCCAGGTTCCTAATACTTGTAGTTAGCTCTAATACTTGTAGTTAGACATTTGGCTCTTAAAATATTTAGGTGAAAATATAAATTTCCTAAGGAGAATCCATTTTCTCCTCCACAAGTTCCTCCTCCCACTTTTAAGTCATATTCCACAGATTCATCTTCTTTCTGTTCTTTCTCTGGTTTCTTCTCTTCTCCTGTTCTCTTTATCCTTGTAAGCTTTTTTTTTTTTTTTTTTTTTTTTTTTTTTTACCATGACCACCAGCCTCTTTGATTCTCTTTCAGTGGAGTTTCTTTAAGGAGAAGAATGAATGTGGCTATTCAATTTGTCATATTTTATTGGAATTCTAAGATCTTTTTTAAAAAGTAGAAGATACTCAGCCTGGAATTAAAATCGTGGACTTTGGAGTCAGATTCCCCTCCTTGTTCAAGTCATGGCACAGAGATAAAATGATCATATTTGCACAGTATGCTGGAGTGAGTGACAGGACTAGAGTTGGTTTTCCCCTAGCCCTACACCTTGAGGTGTCAGTAAATTGTATCACAGCACATCTGTAATTCAAAGCATCTAGGCTTTGAAGTATTGGGCATCCATAAAGTTTGAATCATGACTGTTTCACTTGCTAGCTGCGTGGCCTTGGGCAAGTTGATCTATCTCTATACTAGCTCCATTTGTAAACAGGTGATTATGGTTCCCACTTCTTGGTACTCTTATGAGAATTACAGGAGCTAACATTTGTTTGAAGTGCCCAGCACAATGTGAACACATACTAGGTGCAATACCTAAATCTCTCGTTCTGGAGAGGACCAAGAGGTTAAATGGCTTTGTAACTTTCTCTGGATTTAAATGGTGACTGTGTCTTTGGCCATCAGACATTACTTGATTTGAGACCTTTGGAAGGACTAAAGTAGACTGCAGATGTCAGGGAAAAGTCTAGTGCCTTGCCTCTCAGTGAAAAGGGAGGTGGTTATTTAAAGAAATATTCTCTGTTTTGCATTAGACTTACCTCTGTTCTGTTTAGCGTGTATCTCCACATTATTCTTTTCCTGCAGAATCATTTGTTTACAGCTTCTCAAATTATGATCCTTCCCAAGGTCAGGGGCATGTCACTATTTCTCACCTCAGATTTGGAAATACATATCTTTACATTTAAAACTGCAAATACTGTCACACCAAGACAGAATGGTGTTTGGCATAATATTAAGGCAAAAGATAGCATCTGAATCTCGGTAAAGCAGGAATAATAGTGGAGCTTGAAGAATGTTAAACCTAGATGGTAATATATACCATCTTTCTTTTTACATTTTCCCAGTTTCCTCTTTTGATTCATCTTTACTTATTTCCTATTTTGTTTTTTGTTTGTTTGTTTGTTTGTTTTGTTTTCTCATTAGAAAACAAGCCACAGAAACTCCCAGCAGGCAAATTAGAAGGGAGGCAATGCAACAAGTCCTATCTGCTCTCTGTCTGGATCCCATGCGGAGTCTGGTCAGCAGGTGAATACGCATCCCAGTGGGATTACCTTCCCTGTGGCCTGTCAATCACCCCAAGAAGGGCTTCCCAATTTGTTTGGCACAACCTCCTTCCACTCCTCCCACCCTCTCAGTGGTCGGGAAATCCCGGAGCAATCTCTACCCTGGAGCCGCTTGTGTTTTCAGTAACCAGGGACTGAGTTGATTTTTTAAAATAAATAAATAAATAACAATCAGGAGCCTTGCCGCAACTCACCGGGTTGCTGGTTTCTTGCAGGTCAGAGGCGATGCCACCTCCACCAACGACCTTCCAAAGATTAAACTAGCCATGTACAACTTGATGGACTGAAAATTGAGAGTTGGGCCGTTGGCCTCCTCCTAAGAGTACTTGTGTGTTGAAATCAGGAGGACGTTCTGGAGTTTGAGCGCGATTTTTCTGGGGGTTGGAAGTTCGTGCAGAGGTTTGGATTTCATGCAGCGGCGCAACTAACCTGCTGCAACTGCGCTGTGACACCCCTGTCCCGGGGCCCCCACTTTAGCCTGTTGCTTCTCTGGTCGCTCCAGGTCGGTTTTTCCCGGCGACTCTAGTGTGGCTTCCAAACTTCTGGGCTCCGGGCTCACTTCGGAATTTGCCCCCGCCTCCTATTCGCTTCTCTCAGGCCCCAGGAAGTTGCAAGAGTCCCATTTGTCGCACACTCGGGGACCGCGGGTGGCCGGCGGAGATGAAACCCTCTTGGCTGCAATGTCGTAAAGTCACCGGCGCCGGGGGGCTCGGAGGGACCTTGCCTGGGTCCTCTCCGGCCCGGGGAGCCGGTGCGGCCCTCAGGGCTTTAGTGGCCCCGGGCCCGCGGGGCGGTCTCGGAGGTCGGGGCTGCAGGGCGCTGTCCTCCGGCAGTGGCAGCGAGTACAAGACCCACTTCACAGCCTCGGTGACCGACCCCGAGAGGTTCTGGGGCAAAGCTGCAGAGCAGATCAGCTGGTACAAGCCCTGGACCAAAACGCTGGAGAACAAACACTCGCCCTCTACCAGTTGGTGAGTGACTTCTGTGCCAACCCGATCCCCCATCCCTGGTAACTTTTTGGGCCCCAGGACCTCCCTGGGACCTGGAATATGGCATTCTATCACGAAAGAAAATTGAAACTGGAGATGTGTTCAGATCCCTCAATTCGTGTTTCATTTCAATTTCATAGTCAGTTCTCTTGCCTTCTGCTCTTGAGAGACCCTGTTACCTATTGTGAACCCAGTGTCCCATAAACGGGGATTTACCTGACTGGCAAGGCTCTGCTTGCCACTGGGAATATTAAGAGGACTAAAACAAGGTCCTGCCTCCAGGGACCGCACAGTCTAGTAGGGGAGCTACTATGTAAACAAAGCAAGTGGTGCAATAAACTAGGGAATTATAACTAAGTATCCTCATACTGTGGGGAGGGAGGGTTGAGAAAAGACTTCAATAAAATCACACCCCAGAAGGGTTTGGAAGGATGGGTATGTCTTCTCAAAGTTGACAAGACCCTAATTATCAAAGTTCTAGAGGTGAACAACAGCTTGAAATGTGACTGAGACAGTGACTGCAAATGATTGTGGTGGCTGGAGAAGTGGGAGGGGAAGTGGCGAGTCTGGGGGCTACGTTGGGAAGGGATTTATGTACTGTGCTAAGTAGCTTGGACCAGATCCATAGGCCTGTTGTGTATATGAAGCTGCAGTATGGGGTACCCAGAAAGAATACAGATAGATATAGGCCAGGTGATGTTAGAAGTCATGGTATTTTGTAAAGTCTTCTACCTGGAGTTGGAATTATAAGAAGTTATAAGCATTATTTTTTGTGTTACAACAAACAGAGACACATTGTAGAATAAATATCAAGCTTGCTCAGATACTGAGGGTGAGGCACAGTCAGTGATTATCTCAGAGTGTGGCTCCTTATGTGCCTGCCCGCTGGGGGTGTGATTGCTCTCATCTGCCAGCCATTAGAGAGGATGTCTCCTGTAAAAGTTTGGAAAAGGCCGGGCGTGGTGGCTCAAGCCTGTAATCCCAGCACTTTGGGAGGCCGAGACGGGCGGATCACGAGGTCAGGAGATCGAGACCATCCTGGCGAACACCGTGAAACCCCGTCTCTACTAAAAAATACAAAAAACTAGCCAGGCGAGGTGGCGGGCGCCTGTAGTCCCAGCTACTGGGGAGGCTGAGGCAGGAGAATGGCGTAAACCCGGGAGGCGGAGCTTGCAGTGAGCTGAGATCCGGCCACTGCACTCCAGCCCGGGCGACACAGCGAGACTCCATCTCAAAAAAAAAAAAAAAAAAAAAAAAGTTTGGAAAACACTGCTCAGCAATGAGGTGAGGGGAATGACATGGTCAGGTTTGCAGTGGACGAATGGCTCTGTGGTTAGAGCAAGAAATCTGGAATGGAGTTGGCAAGAGCCTGTTCTGTGTCTCCACCATGCCCAGTCCTCTCATAAGTGTGTGGAGATGGCGCGGTGTCCCCTTTAGAATCTGAGCACCTTGCCCATTCCTATCAATTATTTTTTTCAATAGTATTTGATTGGTCCTCTTTTCTGTGCCAGACAGTGAACAAGGCACTGGGTGTTCAACAATGAGTGAAACCTGGTCCTTGATTTCTAGAAGTCATAAAGATTGAAAGCATGGACTCTGAGGCCAGACTACCTGGATTTGAGTTCAGCTTCTCACAGTTACTGACTGTGTGTTCACTGTCAAGTGACTTAATCTCTGTTTCACTTTCCCGAAATGCAAATATGGAAATAAGTGAAGGCTTAACTTAGTAAGGGATGAAGACTATGTCTTTATACACTAGGCCCTATAAATGTTAGAGGAAGAACAGCTTTCTTTGTATTCTCAGACCATAATTATCTTAGGAGCAGGAAACTCTCCTAGTGTTCCTCAGATGAAAACACAGAGATTATTGCATCACTGTTTCTCAAAGTTCTATGTACAAATATCTGTCATAAAACATGGTGCTATAAATGATTTTATGTGGCCATCTCCATTAGAAAACTAATGTGCGTAGCATTCAGTTAAGAAAACACAGGTATATTCTAAATGAAAAAACAGTGAGGGCCGGACCTAAGACAGTGGCAATAGGAATGGAGGAGAAAGACAGATTGTAGTGATCTGAGAGTGCAATCGGGGATCAGCAAAGGCCCAGGAGAGAGCCTTGGAAGTGAGTGTCAACGTACCCAGCAAGTAGAGCTTAAGACTGGGAGATTTCCTTTCCAATAACTTGCTTTCTCTTTGTAATATCTAGTTGCTTGTCTACATTTTCTAAAATTTGTATGTATAAGAAGTCTTTAATGAGAAATTTTGTGAAAGGGTCACTATATTTTTATAGATCAACATTTGATAACACTGTGTCTGAATTCTTTATCTTTTCAGTCTTGAACTCATGCCCAGAAAATCAAAGTGAAGAAGTGATAAAACTTTGACTCTATGTATTTCAGCAGTGCGATTCAATCTTACAAGAATTCTGGTTGGGCAAGCAGGGTTGGGAGGGAAGTAGACGTAGGAGACCAATCTTAAATTTCAGTTAGTCAGTAGTTTCAATTTAAATCTATGACTGCGTTGGATACCTAAGTGAAGATAGTCTTGATTGGTTAGCAATTTTCCACAAAGCCAAACTCAAGGGCAGACTGAATTTACTTTTGTTTCATTTTGTTTGGCTTTATATCCCCAAGATCTAAGGCAGAGCTGGCATATAAATTTTTAAAGTGAGAGTCAACTAACTGGATACATAGCTTTGATGATTTTTTGTTGCTATAAAACAAAACACCTCTTTGGGAGGTGATAAGTGGGTTTAGGCACAATTTGGCGTGAAGGAGCTTTACTTACTTTCTTTGAAGCTGAGATCTGGAGAAGGGAGATATTGACAGCCAAGTGCTTCAGCAAAACAAGGCGAGATTGCTATAGCTAATTGTTCTGTCCTCTGTGGAGCTGGTATATGTGTAGTCACAGTCTCTGATGCCCTTTGGCTTCCCAGAGGCAAGAGAGATTCTTCATTATAAGCTTGTCTGTTTGTTGTTCATAAGAGTAAACTCCCCTCAGAACCCTCAGGCTTATCAAAAGTCTCAGCACATAAATAGTACTGAATATTAGTTTTTGCAGTGACATAAGCTATGCAATATTTTATGCATGCAGTAATATAGACAGGGAGTAGAAATCTTTAAGGGTGATATATGGAAGGGAACTTCCATTGTAGTGAATGACTCTATTAAATGCATTTCCAGTCCTGTAATTTCTGAGACCTTCAAAAAACAAATCCAAATTATGGGTAGGTGCTTTAGGGATTTATACATAATTGCTTCTCCTTACAGTTTGGTGGTTACTCCATATTGTTAAAACCTGGCTCTTTGGGCAATAAAGTCTCTATTAGAGAGACTTCAGTGGAGAACTGCAATCATAGTAATTTCTTTAATCCTGGAACAACAAAGTGGATGTTTCTGGTTATTTTCTCCTGATAGACATCCTGCTGCCTATCCTGAAATTTAAATCCAGCTGCCACTCTCTGAAGGATTAGTCAATTCAGTTTTCTATTATTTATTGTGGTTGACTCTCTGGGCCATCAATTTATCTCTTTCTATGGAAGCATTGCATTCCAATTTTAGTTTACTTTTATCTAAACAACATTCAATGATAGGATTCTCATATACCATTTTTTTAGAAATCAATATATATTAACAGTGACTATAAACCAAAAAGGAAAAGACTAACTAAATGCAGATTATTAGAAAATAACTTAAGCTTGGCTAACATTTCTGTAGTCAAAATAGTGTGGGTTTCTCAACATGCAGGATCTCAATTCCTTAGTAGCTTAGATTAAGGTTGTTTAATCCTGCCAAGTCTTAAAATGGCTTATAAGAATTAAAGGACATTAATCATTCACCCACTGCATGTACAGTACAGAGAAAATGATGAAAGAGATAGTGAAGGAACTCACCACACAGCAGCATGAAAGACATGCATTAAATTATTACAAAAGAAATGAATTTTAAATTTTAGATGCAGGGGTACATGCGCATGTTTGTTATATGGACATGTTGTGTGATGTTAAGGTTTGGGCTTCCATTGAACTCATCACCCAGATAGTGAACACGGTACCGGGTAGGTTTTCAACCCTGGCCTCATCTCTCCCTCCCCGCCTTTTGAATCCCCAGTGTCTATTGTTCCCATCTTTATATCTGTATGTCTCCAGTGTTTAGCTCCCACTTATAAGCGAGAACATGCGTATCTGGTTTTCAACATGATGAACACAATTTAGAATTGCAATTGATGCTAGGTAATACAATCTTTCTTAAGGGATATGATATTGTCTTCTTTAGAAGGATCATGAGATGGGTCTAGAGGAAATGATGTTTAAATTGAGATCAAAATGAGTAGGAGTTAGACATGTGAGAAGTGGGGAGGAACATTCCAGGGAAAGAAAATAGCATATGCAAAGGCCATGAGGTAGACATGTTTAGTAAGTTCCAGAAACTTAAAAAGATTTACATGGTTGGGGCTTAAGAAATGACAGAAAATTATCTTGAGATGGAAGGAGAGAGCCATATTGTGAATGGTCTTTTGAGTTATGTTAAGGATTTTAAAATTTTTTTCCTGGCACATAACACCTGTCACATAATACATGACCAAAATGTAAATTTCTTATTCTTCCTTCTTCACCGGGTCAATACAGGCTTGAGTTCAACTGTAGCTTTGCCGCTTAAGCTGAGAAAGCTTCAATACCTTTATTTGCAAAATTAGAATCATGATGGTATCTATTTCTAAGGATTAAATTGGGTGAGGGAAGCTTGTAAAGTGCCTAGGACTGTCCCTGCCACATAAAACTAGATATGATTATCTTTGGAATATGAAAGAAATATTCCCATGAGCTGATGTGGTCCAATAAGTTTTGAGGGGAACTGGTAGCATTTAGAATGAATCTTAAAGTAGGACTTAGGATAAAAGTCATTTATGTGCAGAGAACAAGATGACAAAAACATCGAGGTAAGAAAAGCCAAGTGTCCTTAGAGGATAGTTATAGTAAA